AAGGAAAACTGGACCAGAGATGGGAACCGTACTACCGGATAGTGGAGCAGACGGGCCCAGTATCATATGTAATATGGGATCAAGTGGCAGGACGAGCGAGGAGGGTTCATGCCAATGATCTGAAGAAGGCTGAAATAGCTAACCTGGAAATGAGCGAGCCGAGGCCTAAGAAGACAAGGAAAAGGAAGGTAACTCTGGTTGAACCGGAAGGAATGGAGACGGAGGAAGACTCCGAAGAAGATGAGGAGATAGGTCGACTTGACCAGATAAACGAAGCAGTCCGAGTGACAGAGTTGGAACCCTCAGCAGGGATTAGCGATGTTCAGTCGTCGACTGAATCAGTGCAGAGAAGACCCCGTGAGATCGCCATCACCCCCATGTCCGAAGAAAAGGAAGAAAAAGACGAAGAGGTCCAATCAAGCAGTCGAAGGCTCTAAAAAGAGGCACCCTGAACAGGACGAAGGGCCCAGCGAGTGGGAGGAGGAGGATCGAATACCCCTTTCCCAGCTTAGGGAAAGGATAAGGAACAGGAGAAGTTTAGACATAGAGTCGAGAGGTATTGAAGACATTCAAGGCGAAGACTCTAAACAGAAAAAAGAAGAATCAGGGGATGAAGAAGAGGACAAAAAACCTCCTGGACGGGAGTTAAACACAGAAGGAAGGGTGGAGGTTGAGCAGGAATCACCTCGGAAGATGAGATCAGGGAGGGAGAAGAACCCCAAATCTCAGTAGAACAAAAGGGCTGTGCAGAATAGAAGCATTTAGTGTCGACAGATAACGACACTGGCTCATCCAAAATCCTATTGGCTGACTATGGTAGATGTGAGTGGAGGGGATGGAGTCACGGGCTGCACCTCACAAGGGACGGGAGAAGATCATTGGCATTGTTGATTGATCACCAGTGGTGTCATGAAGTACGACCTTTAGAGTGAGCGCCACGCACACCTGACCGGACCATTCTGTCTGCTAGAGGTTAGTTAGGGAGGAAGAGCCGAACTTAGAAAAAGGTTATGAAATGATTGTGTGATGAGTCGAGCGAGACTAAGTGATTGTGAAGAATAACAACAAGAGAATTTGTTACCTTTTAGGAATGATCAAGATGAAAGGGTTGGTGATGACGATGATGGTGATAGCCACGCTGGTGGTGACGATGGCGGAAGCCGGGAAACGCAGCCGAAACACCATTTTAAAAAAAAACGAGCCAAGTAATAATCACCAGGTCTAAGTGGTTGGTCACATTCGTGATAGATTTGAACCCGTATGAGTCGCTATTAGATAAGTTAGGAAACGAGCTGACGCAGCTGGATGCAGCCCGATTGAAAGTAGGACAAGATTATCCCAAGCACAAAGGGTATCTTAGTTTATTGCACTCCCTAGAATCAGAAGCCACTATGATAGAGGCTCAATGGAAAGACATGCAAAACTACCTGCAGGGAATAGAGTTACTGCAGACGCGGGAACGAAGATCCGTACTTCCGATTGTGGGAAAGGCATTGAGTGTCTTGTTTGGAACAGTAACTGAAGATGACGTTAAATTCATAAGAATGATAGCTAGGTACAAGGTGGAAGCAGACTACATAGCATTAAATTCGGGGAGAACGAAATTCATGTTGCTATCAGCTGAAGAAGCTAGAAGGTGTAGAGATGATACCCTGGGGACTTGTACCTCGTTGAGCCCCTATCTATAAAACTGGTAACCGCAGACTGTGCATACTAGAATTGTTTGAAGGAGGGGGAAGGAATCAAAAGAATCTGCCAAGTAGAGGTATTAACAAACTCGGCATTACCACAAGCTATCAGTGTTTCAGACGGGGTGTGGGCAGTAGCCACACAGAAACATATCAGCCTGTCTAGGGTATGTGGGGAGAGTCCACAAGGACATTAAGAATAAGGCCACCGTTATCCCTGGTGACGCTACCCATGGGATGTTCGGCGGTTGGGGTGTCCATCTCCTTGCCCCCTATTACCAGATGGAAGAAAGGTATGAAGAAAAGATTCACTCATAGAGATGATTGGTAGAGGCTTAGTCAATTGTGAATTATGGGAGCCGATAGTGAAGTGATTCTCTAATGTTACCTTAAATAAGATGCCAGTATTAATGAAGCCAATAGAAAAGATCGATATGGATCACTTAAGAGATAAGTTAAGTGCGTTGGGAGACGAAGGTGTAGCTTGGGAAGACGATGAGCAGATCGCGATAAGTTGGTCAATAGTAATGGGTACATTCCTATTTATAGCCATCGGGGGTGTAATAATATGGAAGATTAAGAGTAAGAGAAAATTAGCGAACGACAGTCTAGTGAGCATGCAACAACTCGAGAGGGAGATGCCGAGCAGTGTTCCTTACTCAGACAGGACTGGCAGAAGAAATTGCTGAAAGACCAATGGAGGCTGGCGTGAGACCACCACGTGCGGCGGAAAAACCTCCCACGGCAGAGAGGAAAACATTGACCAAGAAGAACAAACCCTAGTGAACACATCTGCACCTACAGACACATGCACACATTACCTTGCATGTAGAACAGAAGAAAATGAAAAGAACATTACCTTGCATGTAGAACAAAAGAAAATGAAAAGAACATTACATTGCATGTAGAACAAAAGAAAATGAAAAGAACATTTCATTGCATGTAGAACAAAAGAAAATGAAAAAGAACATTTCATTGCATGTAGAACAAAAGAAAATGGAAAGAACATTACCCTTGCATGTTAGAAAGTAGAATAGAATTGCATGAGACAAAAGCATGGTGCATGTTAAATGATGTAATTGGGTTTAGGTGTCATTTACGGGTAAAATGACAAATCGGTTAGGGAGGATTGTGGCACCTTGCATTATTAGAAATATTCATATAAATATGATTTAATTTTTTTTACTCGGTTTATTAAACAGGTTGTTGATTTTTTTTTAAACAAAAAATAATTGAGTTGAAAATAATTCACTAAGTTGTACTTAGACGATCCTAAGGAAAGAAGAAGGAAGGGGAAAGAAAAGAGGAAGAAAGGGAAAAAAGGAAAAGAGATGGATGATGCATGACCCGGTCATAAGCGAAGATAGGTGTCAGAAAGATATCTTGGCCTGCGTGTTGGCTGAATTTTAAAAGACAATAGAGAATTGTTATTTGAAATGAAAAATCATTTAGAGGGAGAAAAAGAACCAGGCTTGATGACAGTGTATTGGCGATGAGAATATCGGTCAAAGGACCTAGCCTACTTTTGCGTGGAAAGACTCATTGTCAAATTGGAGAAAGGAGAATTTCTTTTTAGAACAATAGAAACGAAATTTTTTTTTAATCGGAGAAAAAGTGTCTTTTGGGTTGAGGGGAGTGACCGGTGGAACTGTATACAGATTCTGGCCTGTTAAGAATTGGAAACCCACGATAATAAAGTGGGGACATTTTCAATGTAGATAATTAAGATTTTCTGACTGTCGGGTCTGACAAAAACAAGAGGTGAAAAAACGATTGTCTCAGCTCACAGATGGCGCCAATATTCTTTCCTGAAGTCACATCTAATTAGCGGCAGGCTGTTTTGACAGAGCCCAGGTGAGAAAAAGCCAAGATTGTCATTTTCGTACGTGAAAAAAGGGCAAAATTAGATTTTGTTTTTTTAAAACAAGAACGATGTAAGCCACGCCCGATTTGAGATGGGAGGCGCCCAACCACAATCTCATTAGCCGAAAGCGGTCACGTGATATGCGGAAAGAAGAGGAAGAATGCTCGATCAGGAACCATTGGTCAAAAAACGGTCACCTGACATACGAGAAACCGGGAGAGATGGGTGTACGCCTCCCACCAAAGGCACTGTGGAGGAAGTAGGGGTGAAAACAATAGCGATAATGGGGAAACAGAATTAATGCGGCTATTGGAATTATCGAGAAACCCCTGACGCCAACAGACCCACCCCGGTTTGCTGCGGCGTCAATAAAAGCAGGACCCAAGTCGACAGAAATCAGTTGAGTTGAGAGTAGCGGCTGAGTTGCGGCAAGAAATCCTTTCCACCCAAGTCGAAGACAAGAGAATCTTTCCACCCAAGTCGAAGACAAGAGAATCTTTCCACCCAAGTCGAAGACAAGAGAACTTCCACCCAAGTCGAAGACAAAGAGAAAGAAGACGAAGAAGAAGATTACTCGAAAGCCGCAGAGAAGATCCAGCCCAAGTCGAAGACAAGAGAAGTTCTATCTAAGTCGACGAAGAAGAAGAATCAACTGCGAATGATCGATAGAAATTAGCCCCCAGTGTCGAGCTAAACCACACTCCGACATACACAATTCTAAAGAGTAGGCAATTCGAAATCCTTAGGTTTGTGTGATAGAAGCTTGGTGCCATAGTCCACAGAGCGGGTCGGGAATTGAGAACAATTTTGTTTTTTATGTAACGGACATTAGATATAAAAAAGGTTGTTACCCTTTTTTTTATCAGCAATCCTTTTGTCTCGTGAGTTTTTTTTCTTTTACTTGTGTTTTGCCACCCCGTCGGACTCAACTTGTATCGGCCCCAATCCCTGCTGGTCCCGTCTGTCTAATATCTAAACACAGCGTGGGTAGACAGACCGGAGATCAGTACAGTTGCTTCAGTAACCAGGTATTGGAAGCGAGTTGGGAAAGGCGAGGCTGGTGATCATCTAACCAAGGGGTTGGAGCGGCACGCTTGGAACCAGGAGGAGCGACCAGGAGGAACGACGTCACAGTTGGCGCCGTAACCAAAGGGATTCGACCCTGGGCCAGGTGTGTAACCGTCACATATCTATCTCAGACTGTTCATATCTATCTCCGACTATATATATATATATATATATATATATATATATATATATATAAGCGAAATCTTTTGGAACCTATATATATATATATATATATATATATATCGAACTCAACTATATATATATATATATATATATATATATATATATATATATATATACCGAATTCAACATATCTATCACTATCTGTACCTTTCAACCTGTCCAAATCTATCAATCTGTTGATATCTATGTATCTCAGTATGTCTATATCTATCTATCTATCTATCTATCTATCTATCTATGTAGTATATTCCTAATCAATCTATTTCTAATTGTCTAACCCAACAAGAACTTATTGTCGATGATTAAAAATTATATGATCATTATCTGCGTGTAATCAAGCATTGTTTTTGCTTGTTTGTTCCATCCCAACACAATATTATCCTTCTTGTCTCTCTGCTGGTTTTCCATTTGCGGCACATAAGCCGGTATATGTTCAGCTTGAATGGTAATTCGCTTCTCAATGCACAAAATTCTTCCTCCATCTGTAAACTACTGAATTTGTTTCACTTTAATAAACATATATTCTACTGCATGGTTTTTGTCTTTCGGATTAGGCATTTGTCAAAGTTATTGAACATAAACAAAACTAAAACATCGCAACATTCAAAAGTTAAAAAACGAAACATCTCAGATTTAGATCATAATAAGAAGTAACAATAAACAAAGTTTATTTTACAGCTTATTTCAAAAAAAATTCTTGTATTAAAACCGACCTCGCTTGTAAACGGGAAATGTAATTCTTGTAAATGCCACAAGTCAGCTTAAAAATGATTTTGAAAGTTTACTTTTTGACAAATTCAACATGGCTTCTCATCTGATCTAATTCTGAATGAAAAACAGAAATGGCAAAACGGTATAAGAATAGAAAAGACAAATGATCGCAAAATCATACAAAATTCAGAATCTTATAAAAAATTGGAGTGAACTGCTCATTAGAATTGAAAATTCTTCAAAAATAAAATTGTACTAGATTTATAAATCCAAATTCTTATATCAGCAAGTTAGCGTCGGGGATATCAGCACGGAATTGGAAGCGGGCGTATTCAAAATCTAGCATTGTCCTTCAACTCAATATGTCTTAAATAGTAGGGTAGACTGAGCTCACTAGCCTTCGTTGATAGCCGTCTAGGTTAAGGACGATTCTGAGTTCCAAACCGTAGCGAATGTAATAAGCCGTTATATTTCCCAGACTAATTCTTCTGATTCTAAAATGGTTACTCGACTGTCGTATTTGAATGGGAAGGTAGCCGAGTGGTTAGAATGTTCGCTTTCTAACTATTAGTCAACGGTTCGGATTTCAGCATACTCGATTTTTTCAGGAAGCTTACTTCTTGATATTATCAATCTGGAAGGGGCGGTCCTAGCTTTGGCACCTTTGGAAAGTGCCTGAATACCTTACCAAAGTTTGACCCAAGCCTTATGAGCGAAACTGGCGAGACTGGCACGAAGTTACAAGTCATCGTGACCAAGGGTTTCAGTGTGCAGGCATTGTTCAGATTGTTGATGTGTTATGATTCAACACTTTTAAAGATGCAATGAAATTCATAACTTTCGTAAAAAATAATTAATTGAATGTTTGTTTGTTTAACGGCACATCAACTCCCTATGGGTCATTTAATGTCGAAATTCAATTTTCTTTGGAGCTTTGAAGTGACAAAAATATGATCAGTAAATCAATCTACCTAATTACAATAAGATGAAGTAACAACAATAGGTTTTCAGTTAGATAGCCTTCGCAGGCCACTAAATGTTATAGATCTTTCTACTGTCGATGGCATATTTCCACTCAAACCGTACGTTTTTGTTAGCGAGAAAAGCTATTCACGTACTAGTTATAATTATCTTCTCCTGTACGTAAATGTGATAATCATTTTTTTCATTTTTGCTAATGTCGAAAGTTGTTTAGTTGTTGACGTTTTTATTATCGCGGAAAGAATTCCGATACTCTCCCTGATGAGAAGATATTTAAAAAGACGGAACCATCACCATATCATAAATAAAGAAACAATGTTCACAACGTTTCAGCCGTTGTACGCTCCGGCCTTCTTCAGGTGATAAGTGTTGGAAATGGGAACCGAACACTTTATTTTGTCCAAATAATGCCTGAAGAAAGCTGGAGCGTACAACGGCCGAAACGTGGTAATAAATATGGCGACAGAGATGATGACAACATAATATAAATAGCGTAAACAATGTAAATAGTTAAAATACATCATCTCAGAAATAGAGACAGATGTTGAAGATGAATATGGCAATAAAGATGAGGACAACAGTCCAAACAATGTAAATAGTGTAAATAGTTACAATACCTCATCTGAGAAATAGAGACAGATGTTGAAGGTGAAAAATGGCAATAAAGATGAGGACAACAGTCAAAACAATGTAAATAGTGTAAATAGTTACAATACCTCATCTGAGAAATAGAGACAGATGTTGAAGGTGAATATGCCAATAAAGATGAGGATAACATTTCCAAACAATATGAATAGTTTAAATAGTTACAATACCTCATCTGAGAAATAGAGACAAATGTTGAAGGTGAATATGGCAATAAAGATGAAGACAACAGTGTAAATAGTTACAATACCTCATCTGAGAAATAGAGACAGATGTTGAAGGTGAATATGGCAATAATGATGAGGACAATAGTCCAAACAATGTAAATAGTGTAAATAGTTAGAATACCTCATCTGAGAAATAGAGACAGATGTTGAAGGTGAATATGCCAATAATGATGAGGACAATAGTCCAAACAATGTAAATAGTGTAAATTGTTAAAATACCTCATCTGATAAAATAGAGACAGATGTTGAAGGTGAATATAAAGGTGAATAATGATGAGGACAATAGTCCAAACAATGTAAATAGTGTAAATAGTCAAAATACCTCATCTGATAAATAGAGACAGATGTTGAAGGTGAATATGAATAAAGATGAGGACAACATTTCCAAACAATATAAATAGTTTAAATAGTTACAATGCATCTGAGAAATAGGACAATAGTGGCAATAAAGATGAGGACAAAGTCAGAACAATGTAAAAATAGTGTAAATAGTTACAATACCTCATCTGAGAAATAGAGACAGATGTTGAAGGTGAATATGCCAATAAAATAAAGATAAATAGGACAACATTTCAAACAATATAAATAGTTTAAATAGACGAGGACAAATAATAAAAATAGTGAGAACCTCATCTGAGAAATAGAGACAGATGTTGAAGGTGAATATGGCAATAAAGATGAGGGACAACAGTCCAAACAATGTAAATAGTGTAAATAGTTACAATACCTCATCTGAGAAATAGAGACAGATGTTGAAGGTGAATATGCCAATAAAGATGAGGACAACATTTCCAAACAATATAAATAGTTTAAATAGTTACAATACCTCATCTGAGAAATAGAGAAAGATGTTGAAGGTGAATATGGCAATAATGACGAGGACAACAGTCCAAACAATGTAAATAGTGTAAATAGTTAGAATACCTCATCTGAGAAATAGAGACAGATGTTGAAGGTGAATATGCCAATAATGATGAGGACAATAGTCCAAACAATGTAAATAGTGTGAATAGTTACAATACCTCATCTGAGAAATAGAGACAGATGTTGAAGGTGAATATGGCAATAAAGATGAGGACAACAGTCCAAACAATGTAAATAGTGTAAATAGTTACAATACCTCATCTGAGAAATAGAGACAGATGTTGAAGGTGAATATGGCAATAATGATGAGGACAATAGTCCAAACAATGTAAATAGTGTAAATAGTTAGAATACCTCATCTGAGAAATAGAGACAGATGTTGAAGGTGAATATGCCAATAATGATGAGGACAATAGTCCAAACAATGTAAATAGTGTAAATAGTTACAATACCTCATCTGAGAAATAGAGACAGATGTTGAAGGTGAATATGCCAATAATGATGTGTAAAGGACAATAGTCAAACAATGGCAATAAAGATGAGGACAAATAGTGTAAATAGTTACAATACCTCATCTGAGAAATAGAGACAGATGTTGAAGGTGAATATGCCAATAAAGATGAGGACAATAGTCCAAACAATGTAAATAGTGTAAATAGTTACAATACCTCATCTGAGAAATAGAGACAGATGTTGAAGGTGAATATGCCAATAAAGATGAGGACAACAGTCCAAACAATGTAAATAGTGGTTACAATACCTCATCCAGAACAGATGTTGAAGGTGAATAGTGCAATAAAGATGAGGACAACAGTCAATTAATGTCAATAGTGTAAATAGTTACAATCTCATCTGAGAAATAGAGACAGATGTTGAAGGTGAATATGGCAATAATGATGAGGACAACAGTCCAAACAATGTAAATAGTGTAAATAGTTAGAATACCTCATCTGAGAAATAGAGACAGATGTTGAAGGTGAATATGCCAATAATGATGAGGACAATAGTCCAAACAATGTAAATAGTGTAAATAGTCAAAATACCTCATCTGAGAAATATAGACAGATGTTGAAGGAGAATATGGCAATAAAGATGAGGACAACAGTCCAAACAGTGTAAATAGTGTAAATAGTTACAATACCTCATCTGAGAAATAGAGACAGATGTTGAAGGTGAATATGGCAATAAAGATGAGGACAACAGTCCAAACAATGTAAATAGTGTAAATAGTTACAATACTTCATCTGAGAAATAGAGACAGATGTTGAAGGTGAATATGGCAATAAAGATGAGGACAACAGTCCAAACAATGTAAATAGTGTAAATAGTTACAATACCTCATCTGAGAAATAGAGACAGATGTTGAAGGTGAATATGCCAATAATGATGAGGACAATAGTCCAAACAATGTAAATAGTGTAAATAGTTAAAATACCTCATCTGAGAAATAGAGACAGATGTTGAAGGTGAATATGGCAATAAAGATTTTAGAAATAGAATATAGTGTACTACAGACTCTTAATGTGTAAATTATGCATTAAAATATTTTAAAATATCAACCAATAACTTAAAATTAAAAAAGAACAAAAGACAAATGGATAAAAAATTATATTAGGAATCTAATGCCAATAACATGTATAGCACATTTACACTTTAATTACCACAGAATATACATTTTTTTTCTAGAAAAAATAATTATATCCCTTTTTCCATATGTATTTTCAGAAAATGTTCTTTATTCGTTATGGAAATTAAATGACAACATTACAGTTGTAGGTGGGATCCTATGTCACCTGGCCTAGTCCACCATTGCT